TTGCAATTAAAATTTCCAATCATAATTCTGCTTGTAGACTTGTCTTTGTGTATTCAGGTCAGGAAGCCATACGTTGTGATGCAGAGTTTCATCCACATATTTCTCTTAGGTGAATGAGGATGAAAACAATTAAAGTAATCTTGTATATAGAGGACTATTCTGGTTGACATTGCTGAAGTCTCTGGGAGCCTGGAGAGTATATTTAATTGAATTGCTTTGGTGAGGTTTGACAGTGATTGAGGTGGAATTTTATTTGTATTTGTACAAAAGATGGAGGTTTTAATTCTTAATGGACTTCTTGCCAGTCCTCCTTTATTAAGCTTGATATATACATTGATCACCCTAACATTAAAATCACTGACAGGTAAAGCGAATAACATTGATTAACTCATTAGAGTGGCATCTGAAAATAAGTGGGATATATTAAACCGCAAGCGAACATGTCAGGGTCCGCTGCGGAGTTCGGTCCGGCGCATGCGTGGTTTGCCGGCTTGCGCTGGGATGCGGGCGCTAGGTCTTGGCTGACCGCGGCAGAGACGAACTCGCGCATGCGCACTGGGGGCCGCGGTGCGTGCCTGGCACCAATGACAGTGCGGGGCGCGGTATTTAAATCCGCCCTGCACTGACACTGGTTGCCGTTTGGTCTATTCTGTGTTCCCTGCTTCTGTATTCGTGGATATTTGATCGTTGCTGACCCGGATTGCACCTGACTGTGCTGTATTCTCCTGCCCTGACCCCTGGCTTGCCTGTCCTCTCTCTTGGATGCCCCCTATTGGATCTGATCTTCTGGTACTTACCCTGCGTGTGACCCGACTATCCTCTGCCTGCCACCTTGTACCGCGCTGCTCCCACAGTAACCGACCCGGCCTGTCTGACCATGAATTCATCCATCCATCCATCCATCCTGCTCGGGCCCTTCCGCCTCTTCACATCAAGCTTTCATCTTGTAGATATCTCCGGCAGATCCCTCTACCACGGGTGGGTGTACTCAGAGGCCGCGACCTGGTCCTGGTCTGCTCCAAGTCCATCCCCACCATCAGGGGCCCTGGTGAACAAGCAGACCGGGACTTAGACTCCGCGCTCTGGGAAATCCTGTCCGGTGGGTTGCCAGAGGTACCGCCAGGTGGATCAATACAGAACATGTTGTCCAAGAGGTTGATGAGTTGAGGGCAACACACCTTATTATTGCAACTAAGCTCACTATAGCGAAAGCATAGAAAACTCCTGCTCTCAGTTTTGAGGGAGTGAAACATCGGATGAATAATGTTAAGGTCAACGTGAAGTGGAACTGCACTATATCTGAGCACCACAAACCAAAATGCTATTTAGTTTGTTAATATTCAAAGAAAATTCACCCATCCCCCCATGTCTCCATTCATTATTTTGCTAAGAAATAATTTTGAAAAACACAACCTAGCATTTCTGGCAGTGGCCATCTTAAGTAAGGGCAGATGATTCATGTAGCATTTACTTCCTGGAGTCCATCTGCTCTCAGCTCAGGTATAGGCTGAGCTAAAAACCCTCCCTCCCCTCCTGAAGACTGCTGGGATGTATGACATCATTTGCCTAGGTATGGAAGCCAGGAAGTAACCGAAGAAATGTAAAACAAAAGTTTAAAACAAGTAAATATAATATATGTTCCTATCTATTTACTAATGCTGGCAGCATAAGGATTAAAAATAGTGCATGTTGATTGAGAGAGTGCAGTTCCACTTTAACATCTATACTGACTGATTCCCATGACCTTTTTCTGCAAGTTTGTCAACCCTGGATATAACCAGGGGGGTCTTCTTTGGCTCCTCCTCTTTTGTATATTAGTTGACTGACTCTCCTCTGATCCAATGGCCGCAAACATGCTGTACGTCAGTGCAATATGGGGGTAAGACCTCTTCTAGCCCCCTTTTTGTTTCTATTGACAATTATGTTCTCATATGTAAGAATATGTGAACATTACTTTCATGCTGTGGATCAGTTTCACTGTTGTAATAATCTACGCATTGTAATTTCCTTTCATTCCACTGTATTTTGGTGCTATACTTTGAGGTATATGGTACACTTTGGATCATTGGCTTCATTAGTTGGCTCTCTTATGACTGTGCTTTTTGTCAATTAAAACTTTTGTAAAGGAAGTTGATGTGTTGAAAGCAGAAAAAAAAATGGGCATCGCAGTTTGTTGTGTAGGAGACTGCATAGCCACATACCGGGTGCCCTTGTTGCCCCGTGTCTACAGCCAAATGTGGCAGTAGTGGGAAAGTGAGCATCAGAAATGGTCCATGGAGCAATGGAAGAAGGTGGCTTGGTCTGATGATTCACAGTTTCTTTTGCAACATATGGATGACCAGGTGCATGTGCATTACTTTCCTGGGGAAGAGATAGCACCAGGATGCAGTATGGGAAGGTGGCAATCTGGCTTTGGGCAATATTCTACTGGGAAACCATGCTCCTGCCATTCATGTGAATGTTACTTTGACAAGTACCACCTACCTAAACATTTTGGCTTCTTGCACATAGTACTGATGTTTGGGCATCTGCTTTTTTTTAACGTAATTTCATGTGATTGTTTTCTGCGTATTCAAGCGTATTTATGCATGTGCACGTTCATGCATTTGCACGTTCAGTATATTTCTAGGGAAAATTAATATTTATGCTCATATGCGTGTATTTGCATGCATGTGGCATAAATTACTGACCAAAAATGCAGATTTATTTTTTTTTACTGAGGAATATGCGGTGCTTATTTATGCGCCTGTGTGCAAAGGCACTTTGTAAATAATGGACTACATTTTACCTCAGTAAAAAAAAAAAAAAATGCTGTGCTGAGCTTTTTCAAGCTGCAGTGTGCAAGAGGCGTGTTGTTGACCAAGTAAAACCCTTCATGGAAACTATTTCCCCTGATGGCAGTGGCCTCTTTCAGCAGGATAATACACCCTGCCACACTGCAAAAATGATGGAAGAGTGGTTTAAGGAAGACAGACAACGAGTTTGAGGTGTTTTCTTGGCCTCCAAGTTCTCTAGATCTCAATCCAATGGAACATGTGTGGGATGTACTGGAAAAACAAGTCCAATCCATGGAAATCTCACCTTGCAACTTAAAGGACTTAAAAGATCTGCTACCGACAGCTTGGTGCCAGATACCACAGCATACATTCAGTGGTCTAGTGGCTTCTATGCTTCAGCGGCTCAAGGCTGTTTTAGCAGCAAAGGGTTGACTTAATCAATATTAGGTGGATCATCGTAATGTTATGGCTTATTGGTGTATGTTTGCCTGAATGATGAACAGGTGAAGAGTTTTTGAGGATGTGATTGAACAGCTATACTTACAAAGCAGTAGCTTCTTCATTATCTAAAAAAAGAGTTCTACTGGACTGAGGTTAAGAAATCTTATCTGGTTGGGATGGTAAACTTCTTGGTTTTATAATTTTAGAGGAATCCATCAACATATCATATGTTTCCAACATGCTTTTAAGTTTAACCACAATTTTCTGTTCAATTTTATATCAATACTGTATTATGTATGTGCCTTTTTTTTAGATTCTTTTCAACTCCTCTTATTAATATTTTTTGTTTTGATTGTAACAGAGCATAATAAAAAAAGAACCCTGACTAACACTATTAATGTAAAACAAATTGGACAGCTCTGTTATACATGAATTGACCTAATATTGCATTGGCAGATATAAGGGTTGTAATGTAATCTTATTTAGAGGTTCTCATTTGGTCATGGTGTAGGTAGCAGTAGTTAGTCACAGTCAACTGGACTTGTTTTGTAACACTGATGTAGCACTGTCCCCTTAGGAGTTCCTGAGTTTTGGGTCCCCCTATAGTCCTGCACAGCCAGGCAACACTCATTTTCTTCAGACCTTGCACACTGGAGACAGTAAACAGTACTCGAGCTTGTTTTTTGTAGTTTTATTAGGGGGTATTGGATGTGGTTGGAGTTGAGAGGTGTATGGAGTGCCCAAGGAACTGTGAATATGAGGAAAAATCTCCTTCGCAACTATGTCCACGTCCATAGACAAATAGTCTCTCCTTGGAGAGTTTTTCAGCCCTTCTGGTGTACCTCCTCAGACCCCAGATGAATCCTCCTCTGCACACAGCTGCCTTAGGCAATCCCTGGACAAGGGGACCCAGAAACTGCCACTTGATAAAGCAGCCCCAGATGAGGAGCTAGTTGGGTTTGCCACCTGACTGCCCTCACCCGTTATCTGGCCCAGGGGGTGCAGGTTTACTGTAAGCTTGTGGGTTAGCAGCTACCTTCAGGCCTTACGCTGGGATGGCACCTTCCCTGCATCCCAGGCTGTCCCCTCTCAGAGGATGGCTGAGGCTGAGAGATCCTCCTTTCAAGATCCTGCCTGAAGGGGGGGCCCTCCCAGGCTCCACACTACAGCCTTCTCACATCATCTTCCACTCAACACTGACTACTTCTTAGTCAGGCTTTCTAATACTTAAGGGCTGTTCTGACCCCATGCCAAGCCTACTCCTTGGGGATTGGTCAGAGTCCCTTGATTTTGCAGATCAGCTCTTCCTCACCCCCACCCACTGCTTTCTAGAAACTTCTCAAGCTTGTGGAGCAGGGGGAAGTATCAAAGAACGACATGCAGAGCCTTCAGCCCTGACCTAAAATTACCTGACTTGTTCATCCAAGGTTGACTCATACCAGGCTGCTATCCAGCCACCAACTAAAAACCTATCTAGCCCCCCCCCCCCCCCCCCCAGCTAACCAGAGGGGAGCGGCATTGAAAATATTTAGCAGCATGTTCAAGCCAATTCTTTAGTTTTTTTTGTATATCAGGAACTCATACTAGGGTATGTTCCTGACACCAATTTGATCTGAAGAAGCAGCTTGGATGAGCTGTGAAACATTTTTAAAATTACAGAATAAATCTAGTTAAATGTGACTTACTGTTACTGGCTTATTTAAATTACTAAAAAAAAATACAAATTATAACAAGAAACAACAGGAATCATCCAGATATAACATGTTTGCACCTTTATGGCAGATAAAAATGTTGAAGACCTCTGCAGCCTGTGTGTCAAATTGCAGAAGACCCTGGAAGATGGTAATATGTTGGGCAAGCGATGCAAATGGAGATCTATAATTCTGAAGATGATGTACAAGCTGGTGGACATTGGTTCTGATAGACTTTGTCTCAACTTGGCCAAGCTAATTTTAGCGGTAAGTTTTTAAAAATAGATTTTTACCAGTGTTTTTAAGTAGCCTTAAAATTTAAACTTTGTACTTTTTTGGGGGAAATTTGGCAGCCAGTCTTTCTAACCTAGGAGCCAGGAGAGAGCAAGTTCTTCCACTGATAGCAGTATAAATTGAAAAGTTTAAAGTTCCCTGTTTTTTGGTGGAATTGGGTGATGATCTCATGTCTACGAAGAGGCAAGGCCCACCTGCCGTATTCAGAACAAAATAAAAAGTTTGGAAAATACTGAATGGTGTTCCCCTCCGAGATAAGAGCTAGACCAGCAGCATTTCCAATACCACTATAATCTTTTTTTTTTTTTTTTTTTTTTTTTTTTTTTTTTTTTTATACTCAAGCTTGATTTTAACAATGGCATATGAGGATCAAAAGTCACCCTATAAATGAAACAGAGCTAAACTCTTTTTGTTTTCTATTTTAATGCATGGAGCATTAAATGGAGAATGCAGCTTTATAAGAAAAGGCTGTGTTTGACCTTTGCAGTTCAAAAGCACCTTAACCACCTCAGTACTGGACACTTTCACCCCCTTCCTGCCCAGGGTGTCCAAAATTCAGCTTTCAGCTTTTTGAATGTCAATTGCACGGTCATGCAACACTGTACCCAAATGAAATTTTAATCTTTTTTTGAGACAAATAGAGCTTTTTTTGGTATTTAATCAAAATTGTTCTTTTTTTTTTTTGCCATATAAGTGAAAAAATACAAAAATCTAAAAATAAACCCCACTTTTTCTCAGTTTCTGTTATAACATTTTGCAAATAAATAATCTTTCTTCATAAATTTAGGCTAAAATGTATTCTGCTACATTTCTTTGCTACAAATAATCCAAATCAGTGTATATTGTTTAGGCTCTGTGAAAGTTATACAGTCTACAAACTATGGTATGTATATTTGAAAATTGATCAGTCTGCCTGTCTCATTTCATGAGGCCCTAAAATGCCAGGACAGTACAAATACCCCCCAAATGACCCTTTTTGGAAAGTAGACAGTCCAAGGTATTTAGTAAGAGGCATGGCAAGTTTTTTGGAGATGTAATATTTTGTCACAAATTTCTAGAAAAAATTGAGAAATCAAATAATTTTTTTTTTTTTACAAAGTTGGCATTTTAACAAGTTATTTCTCCAACACAGCATATGCATACTTATAATTACAACTCAAAACATATTCTGCTATATCTCCTGAATATGGGGATACCTAACTGTATTGAGGGGTCCAAAATTCAAGTAGCACGTTTGAGCTTTCAAAAAGCATAAATTAGGCATCTAATTTCCTGACTACCTATCACATTTTTGGAGGCTTTGGAGCACCAGGACAGTGGAATCACCTCAAAAATGACCACATTTTGGAAAGCAAACACTCCAAGGTATTTTTTGAAAGGCATAGTGAGTAATTTTTTGACATTTTTTTAAAAATGCAGGAAAGAAAATTATTTTTTTTTTTTTACATAAAGTTGTCAATTAATTAGATATTTCTGACACCCAATGGGCATTCTTAAAATAACTCCTCCAACATGTGTGAGACTTTTTCACAGCCTAGCCACATAGAGGGGCCTGAAATCCAAGGAGTACCTTCAAGCTTTCCCAGGGGGATACATTACACATCTAATTTCTTGACTACCCATCACATTTTTGGAGGCCCTGGAGCACCAGAATAGCAGGAGCACTCACAAAATGACCACATTTTGGAATGGTGAGTCTTTTGAAGACGTAATTTTTTTGGCACACATTTTTGAAAATTTTTTTATTGAATATGTTTATTAGCAAAATTAAAAATGTTTTTTTTTTTTTTTTTTCGGTCTTTTTTCATTTATAGCGCAAAAAAATAAAAAAAAAAAAAAACCAGTGGTGATTAAATATCACCAAAAGAATGTTTTATTTGTGTGGAAAAAAATGAAACAAATTTCATTTGTGTACAGTGTTGCATGACCACACAATTGTCAGTTAAAATAGCGCAGTGCGGTATAGCAAAATATGGTCTGATCATGAAGGGGGGAAATCTTCCAGAGGGCAAGTGGTAAATACCAGATGTTGTATCTTGTGTATCACACAAATCAACCAATTGTATACCGATGTACTGTAATGTTCACCTTTATATGAATGGTCAGGAAATGTAGCTTAGTGTTGTGTCACCTATAGCAGTCCCAGAGGATGGCTCGGACATGCAGATGGGCCAGCTCAGGCCGCAGGCAGACATATGGTCAGCAAACAGGCCAAAGATCAGTCCAGGCAACAGGCAGAAATGTGGTCAATAAACAGGCCAAGGTCATAACAGACGGAAGAGAGAGACAACACTGCACTGGTGTGATGGTGACCAGGAACTTTATTGCTGGCTGCACTGGTCTGTTGACACTGGAGACTAGCTTGGCTGCAATCAGGAACACTGCTGTTGACTGATACTGGGCGGGTGACACTGGGACTGGTGTAGCGATAATCAGGGACACAGTTGCTGTCTTACACTGCTATACTAACACTGCAACTGGTGTGTCAGTGACCAGGGACACTGTAACTAGTGTGACCTGATTAGGGACAAAATGACTGGTGTGGTGGTGATCAGGGACAATATGACTGGTATGTTGGTGAACAGGACACTGAGTGGTGTGGCAGTGATTAGGAACACTCTGAGGGTGTGGGTGGCAGTGATTGGGGACAATGATTAATACAACGGTGTGGTACAATGCCACAATAGTGAAAGGCCCCTTTCACATGGGATGGACTCCACCTGCTATACGCTGCTCGGCCATGGAAACCCAATCCATGAAGCTCTCTACGCACTGTTGGTATGAAGTTTGGAGGTCTTTACCTATTGACTCTGCAGACAGTTGGCAACTTCTGCGCACTGTGCACTTCAGCATGCGCTGATCCCGCTCTGTCATTTTATGCGGCCTACCACTTCGTGGCTGAGTTGCTGTTATGCTTCCACTTTGTTATAATACCACTAACAGTTGACTGTGGAATATTTAGTAGCAAGGAAATTTCACGGATGGACTTATTGCACAGGTGGCAACCTATCACGGTACCACACTTGAATTCACTGAGCTCCTGAAAGTGACGCAATTTTTCACAAATGATTGTAGAAGCAGTCTGCATGCCTAGGTGCTTGATTTTATACACCTGTGGCCATGGAGGTGATTGGAACACCTGAATCCAATGATTTGGAGGGGTGTCCTAATACATTTGACAATATAGTGTGTGTGTGTATGTGCGTGTGTATATGTATGTGTATGTATGTATATATATATATATATATATATATATATATATATATATATATATATATATATATATATATATATATTCTGTTTTTATAAAATGTTTACTTTTTTTAAATTATATCCTTTCATAAGAGCAGTGCAGTGTTACCATAGTAACACTGCACTACTCTAGAGAAAGTGATTGATATTTTTTTTTTTTTGCATGATAATTGCTTATACAGCCATGATGGCTGTGTAAACAATAATTTCTGACAGTTTTCGGCTGCATTGTTGCAGCCATTGAGAATAATGTGATTGGCTACAGCTGTCACATGGTACAGGGAGGCAGTGCCTGGCCCTGTACCATGTGATCTCTGTGACCAATCACAGAGCTCACAGTAGTTCTGAATGGCTGCATCAATGGCTGCCATCTTTACTACTGGACTGGAGCACAGTTCTGAGAGATGTACGGGTATGTTCACTCAGAACGGCGTTTAATAAAGCGTGTCAATTGCACGTGTACTACTCTAAAAATAAAAAGTAACTAAAATGTTGATGACCTGCGTTTTTGAGGTGCGTACAAAACTCCGTAAAGCAACATATGTTGACATGGACCCTAAATAAGGTATAGTAAAATAACATTGTTGCATTTTTTTTTTTGTGACATTTGCAAACACTGCAAGCATACATTTACACAGGAGCAGCTGCAGCCACTCCAGCTATACCGAACAGGTAATAGTAGTCATAAAGATGGGAGGGGAGCAGTGGCGTGGGAGAAGGAGCAGGGCATAGGAAAATAAACCCCAGTTGAATTTTCATGGGGAGTGTCTGCTACGCCCCAAGTCCAGGATAGTGCAAATGTTAGCTGTACTTTTTATATGATGTAGGAAGGAAAGACCACCCTGCATTTTTTACAGTTGATTTTATTTTACACACCTTCCCACCCCCTCTTCCCTCAAAAACCTTACACTCACTTGACTGTGCTCATGACATATCCATCCTCTCATCCTCCCAATTCTTCCATTCAGGCCTTTTTTTTTTCTTATGCACATAGGCAGAAAATCTATTTATCCCAATGATGAACAGCTTTTCTATAGGAAAGAATGGGATTTTCTGTGCATGCACAGGAATGCTTTATATAGGTATCTATAAATGGCTTTCACATGTGAGTCATCAGATCTATGGGTGTATTCATTGCAGAAACCCATCTCAACTGACCTTTAAAATTATCCTAAATTGTGACAACTACTCAAACACAATGTGCTTAAATGTGCTTGCTGCGGGTGACCAAACCCTATGCACCATTATAGCTGCTTTTGCTGCCTTAATAGATAAGTCTGCACTTACACAATATGTACATTTGTTCCATCATCTTCAGCTGAGAGTGAGTGGCAAGAACCTTCTGAACATCTGCAAGCTTATATTCAAAATAAGCAGAAGCGAAAACAATGACCATCTTTTCCAAAATGATGACCTGATGGGTGAGATAATTTAATCCTCTTTTCATGCAGTGCCTGACTTTATTCTTCCTTATTTTGCTCAATAGACTAGGTCAGCAGTTTTTAACACATCCCAACATTATTATTTGTCACATGTTTTTAATAGAGCTTACAAAGAGTTTAACTGTAAACTTTACCCTTATTAGGCATTAAACCATTATTGCATTTCTGAATAAAGGTTAGGCCTCATTCACATGGCTGCTAAGGCCTGCAATCTGTGAATGGGCGGCTCAAGCCGCCTAAACACACGGCCCATTCACAGACTGCGAGCCTCGGTGTCCTTGTGAATGAATGGGAAAATAAAGAAAAAAGACCAGAGGGTAAAGGACCCAGAGGCCAAAAAGGGGGTCCAAATGAGGACAAACTGCAGCCTTGAAAACCAAATAATAAACAAAAATTATTTAATTTGCAGTAAAAAAAGTACAAATACCACAAAAGACATATATGGCATGGTAAGCCAAAATATACAAAAAATTACACAAAAGATTACCTCACCACCAACCAGGGGGAAAGGAAGTCAAAAGCAGAATGGCAAGATCAACCTGGACAGCACTAGACATGCAAAAAGTCCCATAAAGATGTGATGAATAGTAGACCTGTGATGAATAGTATAGTCTCAAAATTTGAACAAGACAGTGAAGATGACAAGCAGGTGATGATATAGATAGCTCAAGAAGGTATGGTGAGTACCAAGGACAGGATTCATGTATAAATCACATAACCATATAAACATACACGAGAAGTGCATAATAATCAATCTAGATAAACATGATCCTTGATGCAACCATCAAAAATAATTGTATAATCCCTAGTATCAGGGTAAAGAGCTGCAAGTCATTCCTCCTCAGGTATCAGGTAAAGTATGAAAGTATTGCAGATCTCTCATCAAAAATGTGCGGTTAGGCTTGTGGTGCAAAATTATGTAGAATACATCTCCTCAATATTGCAAGAGTGGTTTGATGATGGAAGGGAAATGGCAATATATGACATAATATGCCCAATATCCCACAGGTCATTTAGACAGTCAATGATTATCATGTAGACATGTATCATACAGATGGCATAATAGCTTGGTGGAGCCCATAATATGCATAATATATAGATGCCTTGGATACTTGAAGCACAAGGGGTTGTCAGGTGAAGACCCAGTTCAGTAAAAGTCCACAAAAAATGCAGATATGGTAAAGTGGAAAGCTTGTGTCAAACCTGTAACAGCTAATGGTCATCAACCGACCTGTAGCCCATGCAGGGATAGTTTCTGAGGTCGGTGGAGTTGAATCCTGTGTGTTAACAGGTGAAGATCCTCCCAATATAGGGAAATCTATCAGCCACTGTTGGGTCAGATTCCTGTTGCCAGCCCCAAAAGTGCCGTGATAGTAGGCTTGTAATGCAGAGTTATGTAGAATACATCTCTATAATATATCAAGAGTGGTTAGATGATGGCAAGAAAAATGGCAATATATGACATAATATGCCCAATATCCCAGGGATCTTTTGGCCAGTCAATGATTGTCATGTAAACATATATCATGCAGATGGCATAATTGTTTGGTGGAGCCGGTAATATGCATAATATATAAATGCCTTGAATAGTGGAGCACAGGAGATTATCAGATAAAGACCCAGTTCAATAAAAGTCCTCAAAAAATACAGGTATAATAAAGTGGAAAGTTTGTGTCCAACCTGTAGCAGCTGATAATCATCCACAGACCTATAGCCCATGCAGAGATAGTTGCTGAGGTCAGTGAAGTTGAATCCTGTGTGTTTAGCAAGTGAGGATCCTCCCAATGTAGGGAAATCTTATCAGTCACTGCTGGGTCAAACTCCTGTTGATAGCCCAAAACGTGCCATGATGATAGGCAAGGATTGATATATGACATACCGCATATAGCAGTGCAATATAGTGGCTAAGGATGGCGGCCGTACATGCCACAAGGAAAGCCGTGGCTCCACAGAGAAAATGTATGGATGTCAGGTCCTACAGTCTGACTGAGTCGCTCCGCAGGACTGTGCATGTGCCAGCGTGTCCAGAATGTTGACCCGTTTCGCCCACTACGTCACATGGGCTTCTTCAGATAAAGACAGCCATGTTAATGGAGTCCTTATATAGTAACACAAAGCCCTATAACGGCCAATAGGTGTGTTCTTTAAATTTAACAATGGTTGAGAGGGAACAAAAAGGATCAATGACATTCACCAATAGATGCAGTTAACACTTAAAAGAAACAAAAAGAAAAGCAAAGGATCGAACTATATCAAAGTTATATATATCCATCATAAATCAGCCATAGATAGAAGACATATATATAAAAACAGGTAAATAAAATAATCAAAACAAAAGTTTGAATAAACAAAAAGTGGAAAACAAAAGACAAGGGATATGGTACGCCCGGGAAAAAAAAAAAAAAAAAGGGGGAATGAAGAAAATGTGAATGAAGCCAAAGACTGAAGAATAGCTTCTACTGAAAATATTGTGTAGGAATTTGGTGTATCTTAGCACACAAGCTACTTACCTCAGAAATTTCTAAATTTTTTAAATAGTCAAATTGATTTCTCATACTTGTAAATCCATAAGTAGCAACAAATCTGATGATGACATTACAGGAAAATATTTTACATGAATATATTCCATATATTTTCACCTCCGACACCTGGTCACTTCCTATGAACCAGAGCAATGTTTACATTTCTGCTATGGGCCTGTTTATTTGGGTTTGTCATTATTTAAGATAACAAGGTAATAAGTATAGGGAGAGATTTACTTAAACTGGAGCACTCAGAATGTGGTACAGCCATGCATGTCAACCAATCAGCTTCAGCCTGTTCAGTTAAGCTTTGACAATAAAACCCTGAAGCTGCTTGGTTTCTATGCAGAGTTTCACCAGATTTTTGCATGCTTCAGTTTTAGTAAATCTTCCCCCCCAAACAAGGCTTTCTTTTCATGATATTGTCTTGCAATCATTATTATTTTTTTTCGTGATCGTTATACCAGGGGTAGGCATTCTTTTGAGCATGGTGTGCCAGAAAATGTTTTCAAAGAAATTGAAAGTGTCAGTTATATAAAAAAAAAAAACTTTACACACTCAATCACGAAAAATAATTTTTATACAGTAAATGCTGTAAACTATTTGAATAATAGTAAGAAAATATTGAGCTTTCAAGGATAATAAATGGTAACTTAGCCCTTTTCCAGAACACATGTTGCGTGAGGCAAATATGGTAAGGTTGAAATGAATATGTCTGAATAGGACTTCTGTGAAATATACAGTTGGAAATTAAGTATGAGGTGATAGTGGTCACCCTAATAAAGTTCTCTCAGGTCAAACCCAATCTCTGCATCTTCAGACCCTAAATCATGCCTCATTGCTGCACCTTCACACCTCAGATCACCCCAATCCCTGCACCTTCACACCTCAGATCAACCCAATTCCTGCACCTTCACACCTCAGATCAACCCAATTCCTGCACCTTCACACCTCAGATCACCCCAATTCCTGCACCTTCACACCTCAGATAAAGCCAATTCCTGCACCTTCACACCTCAGATCATCCCAGTACCTGCACTTTCACACCCCAGATCAGCCCCAGTTCCTGTACCTGTACACCTTAGTTGCTCCCAATTCCTGCACTTTCACACCTCAGATCACCCCAATTCCTGCACCTTCACACCTCAGATAAACCCAATTCCTGCACCTTCACACCTCAGATCATCCCAGTACCTGCACTTTCACACCCCAGATCAGCCCCAATTCCTGCACCTGTACACCTCAGTTTATCCCATTTCCTGCACCTTCACACCTCAGATCACCCCAATTCCTGCACCTTCACACCTCAGATCAACCTAATTCCTGCACCTTCACACCTCAGATCATCGAAGTACCTGCACTTTCACACCCCAGATCAGCCCCAATTCCTGCACCTGTACATCTCAGTTTATCCCAATTCCTGCACCTTCACACCTCAGATTAGCTCAATTCCTGCACCTTCACACCCCAGACAGCCCCATTTCTATTTCTTCAGGCCTCAGATCAGCCCTAATTTCTTCATCTTTACACTTCAATTTAGCTCCAATTCCTACATTTTCACACCTCAGATTACCCCAATTCCTGCAACTCCAGACCTCAGATCAGCTCAAATTCCTGCATCTTCAGACCTCAGATCAGCCTCATTTCCTATACCTTCACATCTCTGCTCACACCAATGCCTGCACCTTCAACTGTCATATAATCCCAGTTCCTGTACTTTTACACCTCAGATCTGCCCCAAATCCTGCACGTTTACACCTCAGATCAGTCCCAATTCTTGCACCTCTAGGCCTCAGATTAGCCCCAATTTCTGCACCATCACACCTCCGCTCACCCCAATTACTAAAACTTCACACTCCAGTCCCCAGCGACAATTCCTGTGTTTTCAAGCCTTAGATAAGCCTTAAAACTCCCAGTGTGCATGGAGCCTTATAGTCTGTCCTGATTGCAAATCCACTCCAGGTTACTTTTTTCATGATTTGTAAAAGCATAAAGTGAACTGAGTTTCTGAAACAGATTGTTGGCATCCAAACTAATTTCCTCTTTTTTGCCCTTTATTATGACGGAGCAAAACGTACATCATTGCAACATTCACTTTCATTAAGGGAATAAAAACTGACCTTTAAAGTGTATTTCACTCTTGCAGCCAAACTGGGATAACACCATCCTTAGATTTGTTACAAGTTCCCTTTCGCATAGCATACCTTAAAAATATGTAAAAAATGCTGCTTACCCTTTTACTTGCTTAAAATTCTACTTAACTTGCCCCTTCTATGTAACATTTAGAAGGGGACTGGGGTATTATGTTTGCCATAATTAACCCTATCATTACTGTGCTGGCATATCTCATTATCAGTTGAAAACTAGATGTGCATGCTCTCTGTCTTAACGAAAGGTTAAAGATCTCAAGACATGGGTAATACAATGTACATATCTCACAACATTGGTCCTGGGAAGGAGGGACACTTTGGGTGGAAAAAACATGTGGTGGGTGTAGACCAAAAAATGGTAATGGCTATTTTGCACTTAATATTGAGTGTGGCTTAAGGCGACTCCATGAAAGAAAAAAAAAATCCACCCTTGCACCCCCACACCCCACCGATTACATCATTGGAGTGACCCTGGTGGAGCCGGAAATAAGGTAATAATTTTCTCCTTAATCCTCTGCCCCTAGACTAAACAATCATTAAACCCTTGCAGTGCAAGGGGTCATTATAGTTTCAAAGTGGAGCTTTAAAGGAACATTAGTTAGTAACAAAGTTAGAGTCTGAGATAAAATATTTTTTATACACTGTGTGCAATCTACAATCCTTTGTGGACAGAAAAAAAAATGCCTGCTGTACTGAGAGATAAAACATGCTCACCGGAGATCAGTAAGAGGAAGAAATGTGGTCACTGGGAGTTAGTGTACATAGGAGAAGACTGCCTTAATATTAGTGGTAAAAATGGAGGGGGGCACATACATTAGTGTCAGTGGGACATAGGTGGGTCATAATACTCCCTTCCTGTCAAAGACACAGGAAAACATGAGAAATATAACCAAAAGGAAAACAGCAGCAAAACATATTTTAAGACTGGGAGTTTGGAACCTTTTGTGAGTTTTTTTTTTTAATTTATTTCTGCTTCTTTCTTAGTATGTGACCCCTGCTCCACTTATTTCTTGCTATGGTGTCACTGCAATAAAAAATGGTGAATAATCTCTCCAGTGGGTTCAGAGAAATCGTTGAAAGCCTGTTGGGTGTTATAAACCATCCACACTCTAAACTCAAAAAAAATTTCTGCTGGAATTGAGCTTTAAAGCTTAAATCTGGACTCACCAAATACCTCTCTCCCACTCCATCTCTTGCATAATGTGTCCTCAGCCTGATCACATGGCATCACAAGTCCTCTTGTAGTGGTGGATTACAAATATAATTTTGTGTGTATTAAGTCTTCTAAATTTGTAATGTGTTACATTTTCTTTAAAAAAATACCCAACAAGCTGTTTTGGCTTGGAAGAACAAATTAACATTTTTCCCCACCCCTCCTTCTTAGCTAGATATCTCTGTTTATAGCTTCCCAGAATCCAAAGCCCAGTTTGAACCAACCCCATCTCTTGCTAAATGTAATATTTAGAGTCTGGTCAATACACAAGCTTCTTGCATACTTTGTTTTGAATCCTAATCTTCTGGTTTCCTCAGGTGTATTACTAGAGGTCCTACAGAATGAAGATGCCCAGGCTAACAGTGAAGCTTTCCTTTACTGTTTGGGAACTATCAAATTTCTGTCTGGGAATAGAGCTCTCCTGAGCGAGTTACTTCGAAAACAAGCAGTGGAAATTCTATTGGAGTTAATGAAGCAGATCATCCATTTCAACGGCAGACCAGAAATGGTTTCTGATATGAGCCATCTGGTAGTACAGGTCTGTTCTTTCTCATAGCTATTTCCTTATCTTGTTTTCTTTTTGTAAGCCTTTTTTTCTAGCAAAAGAAATGGTCTCTTGTTAGATTATACATGATTGTTATCTTGTTTTGCTGCTGGCGATCTGTAAATTGATCTGTAAATTGCGTATAAAAATATACGTATGACAAGACCAATGATGTTATTTTTCTTTGCACAAATGACTCAACAAACCCATGTTTTACCTGAAAGTGCAAAATTCAGTAATAAAATTGGATAAAGAGCCCCCCCTCCAACACGCAGATAATGGTGTTTCATTCACATCATTTTGAATTTAGGGGTTCATCAGACTACAGAAAGTAAATACAAAGTAGAATGTTGTCTTTGCAGACGTCTGTGCGATATACTACGAAGTACAATAGAGACTGGTGAAAGTATTTACAGTGGGAGAAAAACAGATGAATTTTGGCTCAGTTTGCAAAAGAATATGCTACCCCAACATTTTCATATTCCTGATATGTGCCTGTTGTAAACTGGTTACACACGCATGGATAAAAACCCAGAAATGTGAAGGAGAGCATTTGTAATAATTGAAGTAGAAGCCTAACTTTTAAAAAAATTTATAAATAAATGGCGCCAGGTACCTTTAAAAATAAAGTGCCTTTTGCTGCAATACTCACCTTCAGTTTGATGCTATCCAGATTTTGGTTTTTTGATTAAGTATATATACATATATGAGTTATATTGATATACAGCCCTCGCCAAAAGTTTTGAGAATGACATAAATATTAATTTTTACAAAGTTTGCTGCCTCAGTTTTTATGATGGCACTTTGCATAAACTCCAAAATGTTATGAAGAGTAATCAGATGAATTGCAATAAAATTGCAAAGTCCCTCTTTGTCATGAAAATGAACTTAATCCCTCAAAACATTTCCACTGCATTTCAGCTCTGTCACAAAAGGACCAGCTGACATCCTGTTAGTGATTCTCTTGTTAACACAGGTGTCAGTGTTGAGGAGGACAAGACTGCAGATCACTCTGTCGTGCTGATTGAGTTAGAATAACAGACTGGAAGCTTTAAAATGAGGGTGGTGCTTGAAATCATTGTTCTTGCTCTGTTAACTATGGTTACCTGCAAGGAAACATGTGCAGTCATCATTGCTTTGCACAAAAAGGTATTCACAGGCAAGGATATTGCTGCCACTAAGATTGCACCTAAATCAACCATTTATCGGATCATCAAGAACTTCAAGGAGAGAGGTTCAATTGTTATGAAGAATGCTTCAGGGTGCCCAAGAAAGTCCAGCAAGTGCCAGGACCATCTCCTAAAGTTGATTCAGCTGCAAAATCGGGACATCACCAGTGCAGAGTTTGCTTTGGAGTTTGCTTAGGCAGGTATGAGTGCATCTGCATGCACAGTGAGGCAAAACTTTTGTAGAATGGCTTGGTGTTAAGAAGGGCAGCAAAGAATCCACTTTTCTCCAGGAAAAACATCAAAGACAGACTGATATTGTGCAAAAGGTAGAGGGATTCAACTGCTGAGGACTTGGGGGAAAAGTCATTTTCTCTGATGAATCCCCTTTTTAATTGTTTGGGGCATCCAAAAAAAAAAACTTGTCCGGAGAAGAAAAGGTGAGCGCTAGCATCAGTCCTGTCATGCCAACAGTAAAGCATCCTGAGACCATTCATGTGTGGGGTTGCTTCTCAGCAAATATTGACTCTTTGCATAAACTTCATGTAATTGTCAATAAAAGCCTTTGATACTTATGAAACGCTTGTAATTCTACTTCAGTATACCACAGTAACAGCTGACAAAAAGATTTAAAAACACTGAAGCATCAGACTTTGTGAAAATTTATATTTGTGTCATTTTCAAAACTTTTTGTGAGGGGTGTATAGTAAAGAAGCTTAAGCACAACTTTGGAAACTGTTTTTTAATGAATATGGTTGTACCTCGGGCAGCAACAGAGATTTCCTACAAATTAAAGTTTGTGTTGAAAGGGAAATAATTGAAAAACTTCAAAAAATGGAAACCATTGTAGTGCTAAATATATTCCAGGTGTTTAAAAACAGTAGTGCTCACTGTCCTACTGTTCATTTGTATTTCTAAATCGGCACACACCTGAGTTGGAAATCTGTCTACTGCCAGCACATGCAGAGTGGAACTCTGTAAGAGCTCTTTCAGACTTACTGTGGTGTGCTGTGCCCTCTGAAGAGTGATCCACGTTTAGATTGCTTTTTTAGTGGGCAATTGACAGGGGGTGCAAAGGAGTTATAACGCCTCCTCACTGCCTGATTTAACCCTATAATGCTGCACTGCCGCACCACAATTGCAGGCATTGCGTGCAGTTGCGGCACAGCCCCATTAGCTCAATGGACTAGTTTGACAGGGCGATATAGCCTGTCAAACTCTGCACCCTGAGTTATAAATGCCATGGCCTCAGCATCTGTACAGCTCATCTGGTTGTACTGGGACAGTTCGGGTAGGCCACTGGGGCATTGTAAAACCACTGTTTAGCTGCGTTTTTTGCCATCCATCATCCCTCCCAGGCCACCCACCTGAAAGAGCACTAAGGAAGGAGTGGTTTTATTGCATAGCTTTGACGTGCCACCTACTGAGTCAGACCTCTGCACTCATCAAAGCTCATGCTCTCTGCTGAATGGGGTGCTCTAGCTCTGACTCAGCAGGGGCATGTTGGACTTCTGCATTAAGGTCACTGATTCCACACAGAGAGCAAGGGTCTCACTCTGCAGCATGACGGCTGGACACAAGCTTTTCTAGTCAGGATGTGGCTAAAAAAAAACCTAAAACAAATTAAGACTTTTGTACACATTCTGTTTCAATTAATTTAGCTAAATTAAACTGAACAAATTTAGCCAATTTAAACTGAACATTCAATTTGGGTTTAGATATTATTTTATTGATTAAAAGTTGTAGTAGTTAAAAGACATCATCTTGTTCCAGAGACTTCTCCCACGACCTGGCTTGTCTACAGGACAAAAAGCGAAAGTAGTTTTCCCAAATGGGACACAGGTGGCAAAAAATTAGCAGAGGTTTTAATCCTTTCCTTCACTATCCAAAAGAAATAATCTTGGCTGTAGATAAACTCTACTTTACCAGTTATTGCTTGTTAAAAGCAGCATGTTGTCCTTCACTTAAATTAAAAGAAAAGCCACTCAATGTCTATAATTGCTGGATAAGAGGATATAACCATATGGCTGTGAGTTTATGGGGGGGCATTTATGCACAAGAATCGACTGAGCCAGATAAAAAGGCTACAATGAATATCACAATGCTAGCAATATTTCTGCCTTTTTCAGTACAAACGCTTTTTCAAATAAATGTATGTGTGAAACACAAAGCAAACAGCAAATGTATGTATTACAAAAATATCCAACCCTGTTTTGTGACTTTTGACAGACAAATATTGTTTAGCACTTTCAAACATACAATGCTTTTTGAGCAAAGGTTCCTAACACTTTAGGTTCTTTAGACAATATCTCCAAACCTTATACCTTTATCTTCTGTAATGGTGTTGACATATTTATACATATTTTATACAGCTGACTGCAACATTACGGAATCTTGCTGATCTTTCACAGTCCAGGCTTAAGTTCCTTGCATGCAATGCCTTACTTGATTTATGTATTCTTATGGAGATATACATTAATGATAAGGACATCTGTACAAATGTTTCACGGATTCTCAGGTGAGTAATAATACATTCTGTAGTAATCGTCTAATTAAACTAAAGCATATGCTGATATATTGGACATGAGTGAGACATTTTAATGCAAATAATTAATGGTTGCTCTTTAAAAAGCAGTGTGTCTGTTTCTGTGTAAATTAAATATACTATGTGTAATTTATAGAGTGGAATGATCTTAAAGCGGAGCTCCACCCAAAAGGGAAAGTTCCGCTTTAAAGTCTCCTTCCCCTGGCACTTTTGCTCCCACTTCCGCTCCGACCGCCTAGGTGATCAAAGGTGAAGTTCTCCCCCCGCCCCGCAGTCTTCTGGGACTCGTAACAGGTCCCAGAATACAGCAGGACCATTCACAGTGGTCACAGCCAGGTGCCCACAGTTAAGATAGCAGCACCGCGAACAGAAGACAGAAAGTGAAAATGGCTGGGGTGAGCACAATGCTGGATCGTGGGACAGGTGAGTGGCTGTTTATTAACAGTTATTGCAGTTTTTGACTTCTAATATTTACACAGGAGACTGGAGCTCCTCTTTAAGCTTAAATCTAAACAAAAGAAAAACAAAACAAAAAGAATGCCTGAATATGGCTTTGTGAGTAAGAGGTATAAAACCCCAAGTTAAATACACAGTTGAAATGCAGATATGTGAACTGTTCCTTTCAAAAGATGTGTAATCCTGTTTTTTTATTTTTGTGATGTGTACACTTCTGCCACACTGCATAGTCAGAAAGATGAATCTGCTTTTCCATAATTGAGCTTTACAGTCTCTTTTGTTGCTAGTCTGCTCATTAGAGAAATACGTATGGTAGTCTTGATTTATTATCCAGAAAGCAGACTGGATGTGAAGAAATGACACAGGAATTTGCAAAGCTAAACAAAAAAAAAGTTTTACCCTGCCTTGCTGTGCAGTGTGACAAAGATGTGCCTCACAAGACTGAGTGAACAGAATTACAAATCTTTTTGCAGGTAAAATTGATTACTTACTGTATATAAACAGAGATAAAATTAACATTGATGTTTGTATTAACTTTTGGTGTTGCTATTCCAGCAAACTTTCTACATACAATGATTGCTGTACAGCTCTAGCAGATTGTTCCACGTATTACTCAGTGGCCTTGGCTGTACTGAATAAACATCCAAAGAAACAGGTAAGCCTAGATTTTCACTTTATTGATTTGTTATTCTATTCTGTTCTTCCCTCATGAGATGCCAGTCTTAAACAGTTCACTCTATTATGTCTTCAAAAATTTATATTATTTTAAAGCTGAATGCCATATGTGTTTTAAAAGCACTATATAATCAAGGCATGTAATTATTAAAATAAGGTAAATGCATTTTTACCTAAAACTAGCAAAAGTGTTGAAACCTGTCTTGATACGTACATTCCTCACCCCAGACACTACTAAACAACTCGTACACTCCCTCATCATCTCTCGCCTGGACTACTGCAACTCCCTTCTCACTGGCCTACCCAAACAAACGCTATCCCCACTCCCGTCTATCCTGAACTCAGCAGCGAGACTCATCCACCTCACCAACCGCTCCACATCTGCCACCCCCTCTGCCTATCCCTTCACTGGCTCCCTATTTCCCAGCGCATCAAATTCAAATGACTAACTCTGACCTACAAAGCCATTCACAATGCCGCCCCAAACTACCTAACTGATCTGATACCCAAATACCACCCTACCCGTGCCCTTCACTCCTCACAGGACCTCCTACTCTCTAGTTCCCTGGTCTCCTCCTCCCACGCCCAACTGCAGGACTTCCCCCATCCTCTGGAACTCCCTACCCCAATCCATCAGACTGTCACCTACCCTCCTCACCTTCACCTAACAACTGATCTCCTCCACTTATCCCACCACTCCATCCCCCACAGCCACTTCCTCCTGTACCACTTTCCCCTCCCTCCTAGATTGTAAGCTCGAAAGAGCAGGGCCCTCGAACCCCTCGTGTATTGTATTGTTACCGTTTTGTCTCATGTTCTGTCCCCCTTGCTATTGTACAGCGCTGAGCAAACCCTTTGGCGCTATATATAAATACTGTATAATAATAATAATATCTGCCTCTTGTAATGTCCTGCGTGGAAAGCAAGGGGGCAGCACTCGGACCTAATTGGGGTTCCACAGCTTTGCACATTGCGGTCAGTTGGTAGCTAGAGAACTAGTAAACTAGTATTTTTAGAAGGAGATTTCCGCAAATGCAGTACAGAACTTACAAAAAAGAACCAAGGTGCTTGAACCAACGTGGCCAATGAAACTCAGATTAGTCCCAAATGTCCTGCTGCTGTGAGATCCTACTTGAGAATAAGAAAAAACAAAAAGCAACACACAATATCTCAGCGCAAAGACTCGAAGGGTGCCCGTGGTTTTAGGAAGTGATGAGATTGCGTAATGTTCATACTTGTGGGTATACATTATCCAATATTACTTACATGACATAAGAACAAACTCCACATTGTTCAGTTAGGTTTGTAGAGCACTTACTGTAGATTCCACAATGTTCAGTATACACTGTGCATAAATTCAGACCACGGTGGGGAAATATGGCAGAGGAGCACTGGTTCCAAACACCCAACCCACAGGTGTAGGGTAATCCACAGCGAAGGTTGAACCAGCAGGGAATCCAGATGGCTGAGACACCAGAAGTGCCACTCCGGAGTGAGTGGACCAAAAGTGCGTCACTGTGCAACCGGAAGTCACCTAGCAGACATCAATCTGGAATCCCTCGCAGCCAGAAGCATCTCTGGTCTCCAGGATTACATGTTTCGAGGCCTATTAGCCCTGGTTTACAGTGAATACGACTTTGAAATCATGCAACTTCACTTGAAGTCGCACAATTTCAAAGTCAAATGTCAGTGTGACTTGTAAAGAAATCTATGTGACTTCATGCACAGATGTCAATGCAAGTTGCACCAGAAATCATCAAAAGTAATGCAGGAACTACTTTTCAAATCGGTACAACTCTGACAAAGTCCATTGCCGATTATAGGGTGCCATCACATGAAAAGTCACTTCGGTGTGAACCAGGGCTTAAACGCTATCCATGTGTTTTTTGATGCAGAATAAAAACGTACTGGACTGCATCTGGTGTGAACCAGCCCTTACTCTATCCACAATGAATAAAAAAAAAATATTTTGCCTTCTGTAATAAAAATTAGATTTGTTTCTACATACCTATAAAAATCCATTTCTTTGAGTACATCATGGGACACAGAGGCTATATTCATTACTGTCTGGGTTATGTGCCACCTATAGGTGAATGGACACTGGCAGATCAATCAAACAGGAGGTCCTCCTTTATATAACCCCCCCCCATACAGGAAGTACTTCCGTTTTGTAGCAAGGTATGAAATTCCAAAAAGAGGGGAGGGACCTCTGTGTCCCATGATGTACTCCAAGAAATGGATTTTACAGGTAAGTATGTAGAAAAAAATCCAATTTTCTTTATTGTACATCACGGGACACAGAGCAGGCTATAATCATTACTATCTGGGATGTCCCAAAGCAATACATTTGAGGGGAGGGAGACACATCCCAGACGCCGGCATCAGTCCAAGTACCTATTTTGCATGCGGCAACACACTGCGGCCAAGGGCAACATCCTCTATAGCTCTAACATCCACTTGGTAGAAATTTGTGAATGTATGAACCAAAGACCATGTAGCGGCCTTGCAGACCTGAACCATTGACACCTGATGGTGGATAGCCCAAGATGCCCCCACACTCCTGGTAGAGTGTGCTCTCACCCAAAAGGGTGGGACCTTACCCTTTGAAACCATAGGCTTGAATGAATAACTGACGGATCCAGTGAGAAATAGTTGACCTGGATGCCGCCTGCCTTTCCTCGGCTCTTCTGGCAGCACAAACAAGTATTACTGACCTGTGCCACCAAACTCAAGTAAATCCTGACCACCCGAACTAGATTAAAAGTATGCAGCGATTCTTCCCCTGCCAACTGTGGACTATGAAAAAAGAAAGGCAAAAAACTGTCCTAATTCATCTGAAAACTAGAAACCACTCTAGGCAAGAAAGATGGATGAGCATGCAACATCACCTTATCTTGATGCAAGAGCAAGGATGGCTCCTTACACGAAAAAAAACCGCCAGCTCTGACACTCTTCTTGCCGAAGTGATAGTAACCTCCTTTCGAGTAAAAAGACTAACGGAGTTTCTTGAATTGATTCAAAAGGTGGGATGCAGGGACCACTCTCCCGTTATTAGCTGATAGCAACTGGGGGGAAAAAACCCCCATGCCAGTTTTCTATACCTGGAATATGTACTGCCAACAGGGACGACATATGCTGTTCTGCCCCAGACAAAATGTTGTTCACTTTTCCCTGAACCACGCGACTTCTGGTACTGTCCTGGTGGTTGATATACGCCACCACCATGTCCTTATTGGACCAAACTCTGGTCACAACCTGTGCAACTGGTTCATCCAATAATCCAGAGCAAAGAGTACTGCTCAAATCTCCAAGATAATGATGGGCAGTATTCTCCCCTGTGGAGACCAAGTTCTTTGAATTGTAGCCACCTCCAAACCAGCCCCCAAACCAGGGAGACTGGCATTGATAGTTCCTATCTTCCATATCCCTGGAAGGAAAATTAGCCCTTCTCCAGATTCTGAACAAACAACCACCAATTTACACTCTGCCATAGCCCAGGGACAAAGCCCTCTGGCAGTCCAATGATTGGAGCTTCGTGATCCAGACATACAGAATGTTCTTCTGGAGTGGATACCTTTTACTTCTTATATTCCGCTCTAAACTTGGAACCAACTGTTCCCTGAGCAAAGGAATATTAAGGTATTATTTGATTGACATCCCCTGTGTCCCCAGCACCGGGGCTAGGAACTTTGTGAACACTTGGGGGGCTGTGGCCAGCCCAAAGGTCAGTGCCCCAAAATAAAAATGGTGATTCTTTACTGCATATTGCAGAAAGCCTTGATAAGCCTGAAGAAAGTTAGCACAGATATGCATCATTGAGGACTATGGACACCCCCAAATCTATCTCTTGCAGAGAGGCCATCACTTATGAAACTGATACCATCAGAAACAAAAGGCCATCTAGACTTATGTCTAGTGCCTTGAGATCTAAGATAGACCTCTCACGTCCCTGTTTGGTTTTGGGCCTGCAAACCTGTTGAGTGTCTTGCCATAATGAGCCCATAACTTCTGCTCCAAGCGAAAATGCAAGGCAAAAGCCTGATAACTCTGCGATGAACCCAGAAGGTCCCAAGAAGCGTACTTAACCTATTAGGTTTCTGCCCCCAAAAATAGAGCAAGTCACCTCAGAGACTGCCCTAGAATCCTCTGCCCAAGATATGTCTCAAAACACAGCAGCCTCAGACTCTGAAGGAGAAAAGCTTACAGCACCTGGCTAATCCAAGTACTAAGCAGGGTTAACCCTGCTTAGTTTATGAGTTCAGATGAGATCAGGCGTGTTCAGGGCAATGTGGATGCAGTCCACTGCAGCCAGGAATAGCTGTAATGCCAGACAAATGCAGTGGTCGAGATACACCTGACACCACTGGTCTATCGAGAAATGTGAACACCACCAGATTACTGTCCTTGTCCCCATACTAGTTTTTCAGGGCTAGCCCAGCACATATGCATCAAACGCAGCCTGATTGAAGCCTCTATGCTGCTTCAGTGCAGTCTGAATGTAAGCTCCCTTAGATCAAATGCAAGCTATTCTGGAGAAACAACTCCTATAAGCGCACTAATACCCATTCAGGGGTGTATCAGAAAACCGCTGTACAAGCCCCTCGGGACTATGCAGACTAATGCAGTGTATAATTGTGTCCTGTCTAGTCATGTAGCCCCCCCCACAGGTAGTACTCACACATCATCATCCAGCCATAGACTACTCAATGTCCCTGCTATCTCTCAGGAGTCTCACTGATCTTTCAGCCCACATATGACTTCAACCATAAGCCAAAATGGCTACCCCTCTGCTTCCTGCCTCTACTGCACAAGAGTAGACTATACAGAGTGCCCCTGCAGTCACTAGTGGCTGAAGGAGAAAACTGCAGCCCAATACTCCTTCAGAGACACACAAAGCCTGGCCTGATCAAACAGCACACTGCCCCCAGTGGCCACCAGGAGAATGACTAGACAGTCAGACTTCTAAAGAAACACTACAAA